CTTTTATTTGCACCAAAGCAGGTGAAATTGATTCACAATCACTTGTGCTTCCTAAATGGACAGATTGATATACCTGAAGTTTAACTGACTTAGTCTTATAATGTTATGACTAAGTGTTCCCTTAATTTTGTTGAGCATTGTATAAAATGATTCCCCCAATACATTTGGACAGCACCACAACATGGCAAACTCACTAGTGGACTATATACGGAGTAGGGAGTGATTTCAGACACAACCTCTGAGAACTAGAATTTACATTACAATTTTAGAATTGATTTTAGTTATGATTGGGAAGGTTCGGATCAAGTTCGACAATGGAGTCCATTACAGTCTGGGTCAGTTGGTGTTCAAAAGATAAAATTATACAGTGTTTGGGGCTTAATGTTTTTAATCGTTTTTATTCCAATTAAGAGATCCCTTCCTAAAGCAGTTTAAATGGAGGTGATGGATGACATCAGTGTTAAAATGCATTGTGAAGGTCAACTGAAGTTAATACAGTCCAGACCCTAAGTATTTGGAAAGTGAAATATTTTTGTACTTATTATTATATAGGATACTGTATTATTGATTTGAGCAGGTCGTGAATATAGAAAGACCTGTTTGGGAGATAAAGACCTTCTAACACACAGTTCCTAAAGTTTAGGACTTAAAAAAGAACTGGACAAACAAAAACGTCATGTTTAATATTTTGTGGAAAATTCTTTGCAGTCAATGACTGCCTCAAGTCTTTGACACATAGACATCAACAGATGCTTCATATCTTCCACAGTGATGTTCTCCCAGGGCTTTCCTGTATCCACCTTCAGCTTTTGCTTGTTGTTGGGCTCTCTCTGCCTTTAGTCTGCTCTCCAGGAAGTGGAGTGCTGCTCAGTCAGACTGAGATCTGGGGATTGCCTCAGCCAGTCGAGGACATCCCACCTCTCCATCCTGAAAAGTGCTTTGATTGCTTTAGCTGTATGTTTAAGATTGCTGTCCTGTTCAATCGTGAAATTTAATTAGTAGTCCAAGTAGTGTCCAATTATTACACATAGTGCACTTCAGGCAAATAAAGAAAAGACTGTCACTTCACTGCACAAATTGCATTTGAATACTCCTAAAGGCTATAAACTAATGGCCAGCGGACCTTGTTCATGCATGTACATTCTCTGCCTGTATCAGAGGAAATAACTAGTCAATAGTCTAAAGGCTGATCAATCTGTTTAAACAGTCTTGTTGTATGTGATGTTAAATGGAAAAAACAAAAACATGAATATTGTTTCTATGATGTCATACACAAATTTCTTCCGTTGTGACAGTTGCTAAAATAAAAATGTCCAAATTTGGACAACAGGGTGAGGCAGGAATGGGCAACCTTCTGTGACCTTTTGCAGACCTGTATTTCTTGAATTTAGTGTATGCATATTACACATTTTGTGGAAAAACCCTTAGCCTGACTATACTATACCACACCCAGTAAGAGGAATTCACAGAGAAGAGACTTGTAGACTTTGAAGGTGTGCCCATGAAGATGTTTGCCTGACACACAGCTGTGCTCTCATTTTCATCTGTGCAACCCAGCTGCTTTGTTTGGTTAGGCTCAGCACACTGTGGTTTCAGCTGTAAACACGAAGGCAATTCCACACTGCAGTGCAAAATTTTGGTAGAGCATTGAACCATCATGTTTTTTTTATTTCTGAATGTGATCAAATAAAAGTGAATCGACCTACAGTGTGCTTTGCTTTGACTCTGATTTTCTTAACAGTCCTTTAAACATATTAACTCATTGTTTGCTATCCTGGAAATGTTGAGAAATTGGGAAATAAAAATAAGGCATAAACAAAAACTGAATAAAATATAAATATTTCCGTAAACTTTGCTGTCATTTCGGCATATTTATTTATCAGAATAATCCTCATACTTACTCTTCATCACAGAGGCCCCTTAGAAAATCTGAGATATCAGAGCAGTTTTCTGCTTAAGGTCACATCATAAATAAGAAAATATCTTGAAACTAACCTAAATTTCAGCTCTCTGATTTACCTCAAAGAGATAGTTTCATTAAATGTATTTCCTCAAAAGAAATTAGGTTTAAAAAAAAAAAAAAAAAAAGTCAGCAGAAGATCACAAATAGCTATTTATCACTGCCTTCATTTGGAATACAAATGTCGCACACGGTACAGGTTGGGATAATTGGCAATTGGATATTTTGAAAGGTTGCCGTGCATATGCTTCCTGCAATTGTAATATAGGCACATGGTTCTATAATTTTAAATGGTCAGCTTGACAACTTCAAATGCTTGAACTCACGTAATCAGTGTACGAACACGAATGAAGGTTTTTTTCACACAGGTTTTTAGTATGAGCATTATGTTAATCACAGCCTATGACCTTCACATTTACCAAATCTCAACCCAACTGAACACCTATGTGAGACTTTGGAACGATGTGTTAGACAGTGTGCTCCACCACCGTGAAAATAACAAACGAGGGAATGACTTTTGAAAGAGTGGTGTTCCCTCCAGTAGAAAAAAAATCTATCCTGACGATTATTGAACCTGCTCTGGAGGCTCAGGGTGGCCTGCCACCTTTTTTTTTTTTTAACCTTTATCCCACGTGTGAACCCAATGCACTCTTATTACCATAGGTTCTCTACCTTTCCTGAAAAGGGAACACATAGCCAACCATGTTGTCCTTCTTTGCCAGAGTAACGACAACACTTTAGATGACATTGACACCTGTCTCAACCTCAACTGGGCTGAGAAAATACAACTTCTGGAGCTTAGAAAGCCCTTTCAAGAAAGCTGTATCAGCATCTTTTAAAGCAGTGGTTCTCAAACACATTCATTTTGTCATTGTGTTACTTATGGATGGAATTATAGTAAAAATAAATGATTCCCCTTATTGCTGGACACCTCCAGGAACCCCCGTGAGGGAGCCTGGGTTGAGAACCACTGTTTTAAAGACTGCCTCTTAGTACATGCTTATATGTCCTTAGAGACATCTTATGTGATGGAAGAGTCAGGCCCCATTCAGAGAGGAAAGAGAACAACAACAAGTGGACAATGCTCCCCTGCCCCGCTGAGATGCCAGATCACATTCTTGCATTGAATTACACGAACTTCAGTTACATTTCTCCTGAGCAGTGTCTCTTTTTATCAAGGGGAGAGAAGGTTGTAAATAACAGTTGGGAAGAAACAAGCCGGGTTTGTGCAAGTGGGAGGATGTCTTGGAGAAGGACAGTAACTAAGGGAAGGGAAAAATTGCTCTTGTATTTTTCTTTAATGCAGTTGCACAGTAATGTCTTTGTTTGACTAAAGCATACACAAAGTAAACATTGAGGTTTATCTTGTGGGTAAACTTAACACACATTAGAGTGATGCAAGAATTTTTCTTCATGTGTGAAATGCATCTTGGTAAAATGTGATGAGTTTGGTGTTGTTGCTGAAATCCCCTTTGTCACCTGGGAAGTCCGCAGTAGTGGTGTTTGTTGTTAGGACACCTGCGTAAAAAACATGCTTGCACCTGTCATTGTGAGAGTTGTTAGTGGTGTTTGGGTTGCCCTGTTGCTTGTTTGTTGAAATTTTCTTTTGTGGTAGTTTTTTCACCACAGCATTTAACCATCCGTGCACCCATTGTAAGTCCACCTGCTGTTTGAATGATTTAAAGACATCTGTTGCAAAAAGACAAGACAAGCAAAAACACTCATGATATAGTACAAAGCACGTCACAATCTACACAACAACATGTTTTAAAATGTCAATGTCACATTCATTCAAGGTGCAGCCTTATTCTCCTATGGTATACATAGCACTGCCTAAAACTTGCCTCCAACATGCTGCACTCTAGTGGTGAATAAGGGCAATTTAGAGTTTGTATACTTATAATAATAATAATTATAATAATAATAATAATAATGAACACGTGTTTTTGTCAGGGCTGTATTCAATAGTATTTTTGAGATAAAAACACATCCAGCTCTTTATATCTGGACCTGCCATCATCTGGTGTGAAGCCTTGGTCACTTCATTTGCGTCACATTGCAAGATTTCATATTTCCCTTTGGTGCTGCCACAATGCTGTGGTTCTTCAGCTGATGCTTCTTCTAAAATGCTTTCGAAGGGGAACAAGGTCATGTTAAGAATATATTGTGATAAGAAATTGAGAAAAAAATTAATGGTTTATTGTGGTTTTCAACCATAACTTGCCCTGTTAGCGCAGAATCTGTATTATGTAGATACAATTCCCGCTCTGCATTTTTGTTCTTTTCATGTTAGCTTCATTTCACCAAAATACTTCAACCTGCAATGGTACTGATACTATTACAACAACATGTGATGGAGTAAAACCATTAAAAACATATAGAATAGTGTGACAACTTAGACCCCAAGTCCTAGTATTTGCTTTTGCCCTGCACATATGTTGATGGAAAAGCCCAGAAGTTGTTTAAATTGGGAAAAATACAACAGTGTAACTAAAAGAAAACGTGTGCTAATCACCTGGAAGTATTCATACTGCCACCTTTCGCTGAAAATGGAGAACAGTGAATATTCCACAATTTCTATCTTCTGTTTCTGATCTTTTATCTACAAATGACTGAAAACCTTTTTGTCTTTGGTGTCCTGCACAAGCTCTACATATACTATGTGGCTAAATGTCCAATTCCAGTCTCAATTTCATGTAAATGTTTGCTTTAACTGTGACATGCTCATGAAAAAGGAGAAGTAACACATCATTACTTATTTACTCCCAGTTTACTCCAAGTGAAAAAAAGTTCAAGCTAAAATTAAAGCTATCTCAGGAGGTAGAATATAGGTATACTGCATTTTGAAAATAAAATTAAGAATTTTATCATGATACACTGTCTTTCACAGAGTGTATCCACCTCTGCTGGAAGCTTTTGGAAATGTTGTCTGACAAAAAAAAAAGAAACCAAGTAAACCAAAAACTCTGTGTTGTTATGTATTTAATATTTTCAAATGGTACAATTATTTCAATAAAAAGAATTGCTGTACTAAGGCACATCATACATGATATAAATGTCTTAACATACTTAATATTCTTTAAGAACTACAATTTATAAATAAATTAACTTTCACATTCAGTGAAAAAGAGAAAAGAAATCAAAACTGCCAAGTCTGTCCACTGGGTGGCGACAGATCAGTTTTCCTGAAAATACATTCTTCATAGCTTGAGTGGGTTCACCACCACTACGTAAATAAATATTAAATAAGTTAAATATTTAGAAGGCTAGAAAATATAGACTTTGCCATGTTTAGCATTTTTTCAGCGTAGTGTCTTCTCTACATTCAGTCTTTGGTCACAACTAGATCCTCCTTTCTTCTCAGTTGTTCAACTTGGTTATGCCCTATAGAGGAAGAAATTGTCATTAATTTAACTTTTACTTGTTGCATAGACTCACTTCGTCACATTAATGATATGTCATGCCACAGATGTTCAACCAGAGATGTGTTAAATGATGATGATAATAAAAAAAACCCTTACCCGTTGAATAAGAGACTCCAGTCGGTTGAAAAATTCCTGGGCTTTTACTTTAGGATGTAGGTAGCAGTTTTGGCATGTGGGCTGAAGGGAAACAAAAGAAAAATTAACTAATGGCCATGTACTATGAGTGCAACATATGAGTTCTTCATGCAACTGAAATATCAGCACTGATTATTTAGGAAAAACATTGACATTTTCTCTCACCGTGTCATTTCCTGAATTACAAAAGTCCAGGCTTCTCACCTGAAATGGATAAAAGAAATTAGTTGTTTTTTTAGAAATGTACTGCACTACAAACTTGACATTGTATTTGAGGCACACTTTTAGATGTGTTATTTTGATCCCTGGCAGTTTACTTACAGTTAGGTGATTCTTGAGGCTGTTGTAAAGTTTTTTTTCTTTTCCTTCTGTAACGTTGAAATGCACCTGCATGTTAGCCTTAAAGCACTGCAGGGCTGACAGACAGCAGCAGTCCTGTTATAAAATGGAGAAGGAAAAAAAAAGAGAAAAATGTTTGTGAATAAAACATCCATACCACAACAACATATATCATGAATTTGTAATTCATGTGCGTTCATGTCAGTGTTAAGTTATTTTATGGAAAACTGGGAAATGACACAGGGACAAATAACAGTAGAAGAGAAGACATCATTTAAAAGAGTCGTCAACCATAGAGCTACTTCACTATCAATTTGATACATTTGTTAGTTTGAAGATGGTGATTTGTTTTGTTTTTTACTAAACAATTCTGCAAATCACTAATTAGAGGAAAAAACTCCCATCACTGCCATCAAAAGATTTCCAAGAAAGCTGTTGTTTCTGGTTTCATGTCATGACTTCATTATCGCAGTAGACTTTCCAATCAGATACATGCATATAACACTTTTACCTAAAGTGAAACTTAACCAAAGTTTCCACTATTTTAAGTTAAGTTTCTGTTCCCAAAATGCTTTGGATGTTTTTGAATTGTTTCCCACCAGAATTTGTAATGAAAATTTTGATGATGTGACATGTTCTTTCCATGTCAAACAGTTTGTTTCTGTTTAGATACTCACAATGTGTGACACCCCCCCCCCCCTGGTGTCATGAATTTTCATCCTTAATATTAAGCCTTTTTTTTTTTTTTTTTTTTAGAAAATAGTGGCTTCACACCCACTCAGGAATCATTGTCATTAAGATAAGATGTAATTTGCCAGTTTTTAAATAGAACATTGAGTCAGATGTTCTCTAGCATGCAAGAAAACATTTTGAGTTTGTGAGGAAGTGTCATGGTTTTGTCTGCTCTCTGCATGATTACTCATCACATTTCACCTGAGAGTGCAACGGAAGCTATGAGAAAATACACTGAGCAAGCTCTGGAGTTGACTCACTCAGGACCAAAACCCTGACAAGAAAGACGGCTGCTCTGAATTTACAAGTAATGCAGTTGATCTAAATAGGCATTCCTTTAAAGTAAGTGCAGATAATCACATTGTTATGTGGGATTGTTTTTGGCATAGCATAACATAAGCAAAACAAATGGTTTGTTTTCTAAAAGGTCAAATTATACTAAAACTGCATGTTCAGTAAGGCGCTAAAGTTGAATATTGTTGTCATGAAGATAAGAGTTTAGGTAATTTATAATTTGAGTGAATCTGATGGACTGCAGGTTTTTTCTCGGGTTAACAAACAGTATTCTGACACCACTGGCATCAGTAATTCTCTTAGAAATAACATGGTGGCTAGTTTGTGCATAGTTTTTATGATGTTAGATGGTTCTCAATAATACTGTTTAACTTAACATGAAACTCTAATTAAACTACTACTGATATTAATCATTTCCAGTACTTAGTTACTTTTAGATTTTTGCTGTATCAAACAGAAAAATTACTTTATTTAAAAATGGTATATGCTCACATTTGAATTTACTCTATAAACAGATTTTGTTAGGTTTAGCTTTATTAGCTTTGCATAGTTTATGAAGGTCTAACTTGCCTGTACTGTATAGTACGCTGGCAGCTGTAGAGCAGGGTGGAGTCATTTTCTTTTTAACATGTATTTCAATGAGACTATCTAGCAGAAGATGAAATGTAAAAGAAAAATTTGAATATATTTTAAAAGATCAAGTTTTTAAGCCTGCAAGGTAAGCTATAATTTTTTTATTTATCTATTTTATTTAGAAGGACATTGTGCAGCTTTCAACATAAATGCCACCATTTGATGTGCTCCAGATTACATATGCATTTTGTGATTTCACACATCATTTGATGTACTCCTACAGTAGCCGGCACATGACAATTAGTAACTACAGTAAGTACAACAATGAGTAAGCAACCACAAATATTAAGTGTGGCGGTGACCATACTGTCAACATTATTTTGAATGCAAATTAGATTTGCCTACCTCAATATTCTCTGGGGCATTCAGCATCTCCTCATAGTGCTGCATGACAAAAAGCGAGGACATTGTATTAATTAAAGATAACTGCAACTGTAAATGGGCAAAGTTGAGAAAAAGTAAATGTATATGAACCTACCTGCTGCCTTCGTTTCACCTCATTCAACTGCCTTAGAGCTTCTTCCAATTTTCTCTTCTGGAGTGATGTGTTGGGCCCATTTGTTGTTGTTGTTGTCTGGGCCAAAGAATAGCAGCAGACTGCAAAAAGGCAAAGTAGAACCAGCTTCATATTCTCAGTGTGAGTAGCAGAAGTAGCAGTCACCAGAAGTCGCTATTCGAAAGATTTACTGGAAATGTAGACAGTTGTGTCGCTTACCTTTTTATATGTATCCCTGAGGACACAGGAAAACCACTTGTAGTGAGTTGGAAAGCTGCAGAAACTGGCGTATGTGAGTAATGAAATTTTCTTTTCCACTGGCAATCACCACTACGTGATGCGAGAGTGTCGTCAAGCCGCGCGTGCGTGGGGCCTATAGAGTGTGTGAACGTAAAGTTGTTTGAGTGCCGCCGACAGGAAACTACAGGAAGACGGCACTTCCCATTTTCACTTTGAATCATGGAGCCACAGCTATACCGTGTCATAGGTAGTCTTCGTTGGTGTGGTATTGACAACCTGAATGTAGGCTATTCACCGCATGACGGCCACCTACACAAACACAAAAAGCCTGCTGCAACAACAGGAAACCCTTTTTTTCAAGTATTAATGTTGAGTTAAAAGGAGAAAAGAGGAGATATTCTAGCCATATTAATCTTACTATTATTTATCAACCAGAAAAACTCTTTCTTTATGCCCATTTGCAAGGACAAGTGAAAAAGAAAGTGTGTGGTCAAGTTTCATCACAAGCCTATTTGGGAAATGCCCTGGAACTGTGGTCACATGAGAGTCATGAAGGACATTCCTGTGGGTTACCAAATAGGTTTGTTGGTGATACATTCATCTCAGAGATTTATCTTTACCTTATGCATTCATAAAAGTAACATGCAGTGTCATTGGACATGCAACAAAGTTCCAGGGCCGGATTTAAACCATGGACGTTGCAGTAATGTGGCATGCTCCAGAACCATTCAGTCACCAGAGCGCTAGAGAATTTTTTTTTTTCCATATACAGTTTTTCAGTAGCGAGACGTGGCCAGCGTGCACAATGGTTGTCATTTGGCTTCATAAAATTTTGTGACACAACGTGATCAGTGTATGTTGCACAGTCCACCATAGTGAGAAAGAACAGCAGTCATTTGCAGTTCCTATTTTTAAGCTGTGTGCTGAGGTGAGATGAGTGTCAGCTAAAAGCAGTGGGCCACTGGTCACCCTGACTACAGAGGTCTCAGTTCTGTGTAGAGAACATAAACCAGATTGAACATTTTCAAAGATTTTATTGTTATTTATAAAAGAAATTAGTCCGATAGAGACGTTTTCTTTTTTTCTTCTAAGATCTTCAATAAAAACAGCAGCTTTGACTTGAGTCTAAAATCACTTAAAACAGAGAAGTCCAGAGAGCGCTTCTCTAAAAGTGGGTGGCATGTGTAAAATTGGAGGGGGAAAGACCAGTGGAGAGAGTTAATAATGGCAAAAATAACAGGACCACTACATGTCTCTAAATCACCCCATGCTCCCCAAGAATCAACAAGACGTGTTCCAGGAGAAAGAACAAGAATCATAAGTGTAATTCTGTACTCTTGCCTAATTGCATGTGATTTTGTGTGTTTTTGTGCCCTTTATTTCTTCCGAACTGTATTGTAGATGTTTGTGTTTGACATGTTGCAGACTACAAATCAAAGCAATCAGCCATCAACTCCCATTTAGCATAACATTGAAAGAATGTGTTTTTGTTTCACAGCTCTGCCCTTGACGCACAGCAGTTTTGATGTCCACTGCTTCTTGCAGCTGGCAGATACAATCATATCTTGCCTGTTTCTTCAGTGTTGTGTTGCAGCAGTGAAACTAGATGGTGATGATGCTTACCCTGCAGCCACTGAGGGTTCAGCACTTTAAGTTGGGGTTGCAGATGTGTGCATACTGCAGTGTGGATGGCTATTCCATTTTTGACCACTTTTATGTACAGTACAATACATATACCTTGAGGTTTTCAGAAGAGCAGCACATGGGAGGCTGTCATGACCTGAGGTTTAATCACTACTATGTTTTCAGGTTACAGAGAATTACAACATGGAAATTGAAAAGGAAACATCACTGAATATTTTCTTCAGTGATGGCCATTTACTCCAGTGTGCATTAGTATTACACATTTTGGAAATTCAGGAGGCATCACATGTTAGTCAGTGTGTCCAACTCGCTCCGTCTGTCATGTCAGTGTCAATCTCCACGCACAATCTTTACATCAGTTTTCTGCAACCAGAGAGGAGGAAGTGAGAGTGAGACTGAAAGAGAAAACCCCTCTCGTCTGTTCTCTCTCTTTGTCAGCGTAAGGGAAACGGTGGGTGGGGGCTTCGACTGGTCTGAGAGGTACATCACCCGCAGATTCTCCTGTCTTATCAGGAGTCCCTTTTTTTGTGATGCACACATGGAAGGGAAAATGCGTCCTCAGGTAGATCTAAAATTCAGAAGAATTTTCCTCCATGGCTGCCATTAAGGAACCCCTACTAACCCACCTAACCTCACATGTGTGTGTCAGCAGAAAAGTCTTAGCAGCTTTGTCATAATGAGCACATGTGTCAAAATGAAAATTCATGCAGTGAGAAACATTTTCTAACCACATGAAGCCACAGAAGATGCCTAAAGAAAAACACAGCAGCTTGGCATTGTCACAGTGCAGTGGAGGTTTAAGGTGATGAATAGGTATAAACAGTTTATTATTTATTAATTTATTTAGCCTTCATCTTTATAGTTGTCATAGCTCTGTGTTTACAATCAAATCCTGCAACAAAGTTTGTGTGTGTGATTAGTTTTTATTTTCAGAGTGTTTCTCTGCTACTTTCTAATGAGGCACCCTTTGTAAAAGATTCGTGGGTGGGAATGAATGTCTTTATTAATGGTTGAACTATAATTTACAATCTTTTATCTTCTTAGCTCTTTAGTTTATCAGGGAGGCCCTATTTTTATTAAACATGACTGAAATCATTAGTTATGACTTAAAAAACGCTGGCTTCGTAGAAACTGGAACCAGTTTATAATTGTGACCAAAATCTTACCAACCCTGTCCTTCAATAGTTGCTGTACTTGCATGTGAAAAAAAGAAAAAAAAAAGTTCTTTGGTGGAGAAATGTAATCATCACATACGTCTTATCTGCATTTGAGAGCTCAAACTTTTTCCATTAAATTTTGTGAAACGTTGCAGTACTGTCATATTTTTGGTGATGACTAAAACTCTCGGTCAGGGGTGAATACATGTCACACAGTGAGTCGCTGTTTGTGGTCAGCCAGAGTGTTAAACGCAGTGTACAAGGTGTGAGATGAAGTGAAGCTGCTCACGGGAGAAAACTCACAGATGGAGGTCAGTGGAAGAGTACAACAGTTTTTCAAAAAAAAAACTGCAACACAGCGAAAACAAGCTTTCAAACTTAAGTATGAAATTTGTGAGCAGTAGAACTGACGTTTAAAAAAGAAATTAGCCCTTTCTTTTATTAATTTAGTTTTACTACGAGGCCTTCCCACCTACAGTTGTGAGAATACCGTTTTCTTTGTTTCTTTATGTTAAAAGTGCAGGATTAGAAGCACTATATTAGAAAACAGTTAAGTTGAGAGTATCAGAAGCCAACTTCAGATTCACTTTGTGTGGAGTTGAACATGATCTGAAATGTTCCTGTAGCCTAAAACATACCACATCTAGAGTTTGATGTGGTTTGGTTTTTGAAGAAAAATAATGTCCTTTCTGTGTTGGAACTGTCAACTTTTGCAGACTATGTGTTCTACGCTCACTTGTCGGTTTATTAGGAAAACCTTTTTCTAAACATAATGCAGTCCTAATACAACAAAACAATAGAAACGGCAGTCAACATAATGCAACGCAGTTCAACAATACCACAAATTGTAGGTGACAAAGTGATCATACGGTTCAATCAACACCCTTTGAACACTGTTTCATCACAAACTGAATGTTATAACCTTAATGGAGGAGGATCGACTGCAGGAATGGTGTATAAGACTGCTTTAGTTTTAGCTACGTTTTCCTAATAAACTGACACTAGTGTGTTTACTGGGCTTATTTTGTGTTAATACAATGTTAGGAGAACTTATCTTTTTTAAAATAAAAACCTTGTGTTTTCCTGTGTGTGTGTGTGTGTGTGTGGTTTTGTGAGTTCTATCGGCCGTATACGTCTTTTGTCAGAAAAAAAACTTAATTTGAATTGTGACTAACAAAAAGTTTAGTTTTTTACTATGACAGCTAAAAGCTTGAATTTACAAATGACATTTGATTAAGTAAAGACATTCTGAGATTAAAATGTGAGATTATATTGCTGCCTTTAAAAGAAGAGTAAAAAAAAACAAAAAAAAAACATGGAGTTTAATAAAATTTAAATCCAGGTTTTATAGACGTCTCTTAGGTTACCGTTAGGAACAGATCTCCATCATGCTGATGATAAATGACACAGACTTGCTGTTAGCATTGTAATAGGAGGACAGTATTGGTGTGAGTTATCTAATACTGTAACGCATATTGATCATGTATTGATCATGTATTCAGAGCACGTGGACAGGACCAGACCTGTAAAAGAGCAATATTTATTCTCTCTCTGGACAACATCATGTTATATTTACCATTATGTGAGCGTTGTTTGGTTTTCCACTCTACTGTATTTCACTATTACGTAACCTCTGCTATCAGTGCAGATGTCTCAGCCACAGTTGTTGCTCATCCATATCATAATTTTGTTTGTTTTGTTTTGACTTGATGTTGTCACTTGGTTATTCTGAAATGATGTCATTGTTGTTTTGTTTTTGTTTTTTCATTGTATGGTTACTTTGCCTTCCCACTGTTTTAAACCAAATAAAAGATACACCTAAAAAAAAAAACAAAGAAAAAAAAAAAAGATGGCTAGTGACCTGTTGCTGTGAAGTTTATGTGTGTGAGTGACTTAAAAGAAATATTAGTCACCTTTCTTTTATTTTTGTGGAGGTTTTAGTGAAAGTTATTTACATAAGGTTAAAAAGTCACCATCATATAGTACAGTCAATTAAGTGTTAGTATTTAAAATTATTACACTATCAGGCAAATGTATTTACTCTATCTTATTTATGTAGTTCACTTCCTACTCCCACTTGCAGTAGTGTGA